AGGTAGCCAGCCTGTAGTGTAAGACTCCTGAAATTATCAGACTACTCACTACAAAAACCCCTCTACTCTGTTGGACACAGACCTGGAATTGTTTGTCGCATTACTTCAAGTCAGGCCAACATGTGACCTAAGCCCTCAGGGCTCTGCACCGCCCGTTTCTGGCATTTGGATTTTTTTTTACCTACACCGCATCCTAGTCAAGGTCAAGCTTCTTGGCGCGGAGAATACCCTTTTTTGTCAAAATCACGATCTCGGTTTTGCTCAAAGCAAGTGAGAGACCGTGGTCTACCATCCATGCGTTTATGGTACGCATAACTCGGTTTAGCTTCAGCTGAGCCAGCTCAACGCTATGTGCAGCTATCAAAGCTGCAACGTCGTCTGCGTACCCAACCAAAACAGTTTCCTCAGGAATTTCAGACTTCAGAAGGCTGTCATATGTGACGTTCCAGAGGTCTGGGCCGAGTATGTAGCATTGGGCAGCACCAGAAGTGACACTCATCGTCCGCGGGCCTTCCGTAGTGTCATACGTGAGGAGGCGGAACCGGAGATAATCCTCTATGATGCGCATGAGGTATAATGGCCCGTGGAAGGTGTTCTCCAGAGCGACCAGCATATCACACCACCTCACCAAATCAAATGCATTTCGCAAATCGAGCGTTACGAGCAGCACAACCCTACGAGAGTAGTGGTTAAAATCCTCAGCTCTCATCACGACTTGCTTCACCACTTCAATCGCATCAATCGTTGATCGCCCCATCCTGAATCCATACTGACGTGGGGAGATGTCCCCCGCAGCGACAACGGCTGAATTCAGCCGGGAACGGATCAATTTCTCGAGGACTTTGCCAGCCGTATCCAACATACACAGAGGTCTGTAAGAGGATGACAGATCTGGGTCTCCCTTGCCTTTCCCAACAAGCACAAGCCTAGCTGTCTTCCAGCACAAGGGGAAAACCCCTTCGACCAGGCAGGCATTGCACATGCTCAAAAGGATCAAGGGGTTGGTAGTCAAGACCCTCTTGAGGACTTCAACGGGTACCCCATTGGGACCAGAAGCCTTGTTGTTCTTCAGGGATATGACGGCCGCCTCCAGCTCTTCAGGGCTGAAAAGTGGGACCTCGTCCACCCTTCCAAAATCCCGCAGTGGGCGGAACACGTGAGCAGGGAAAAGGGACTCGACTATCCTCTCCATAGTAACCCCGTCCATGACGGAGGTGGAGAGCGGGTTCCAAGATTCTTGGTTACAAGTTTGTAACCAAGGCCCCACGGGTTGGAATCAACATCGTCCCTTAATTTATCCCAGCAACTGCGATTACTCCGATTGATGGCTCGACGAAGATACCTCCTAGTCACCCTATAAGCATCCGACTTACGCCGTCTGTCCAGGGGTTCTCTAGCCCTGGTAGCAAGTCTTCTCGCTCTCAATGCTGCTCGACACAATTCCGCAATCTCGGCAGTCCACCAGTACACATGACGCTCATTGCACCGGTATCTCCTGCGAGGCATAGACTTATCGCAGGCCGAGATAATCAATTCCATAGTGGATGCAACTAACGCCTCTGCGTGAGTCAGCCAGTTGCGGGATGAACCATCGGCGTTCTTCATAGGATGGCTCCATTGAATTTTGCCACGTCCAGTTTTTTAATGGTCCATCGAACGGGCACTTGACGAAACGTGGCCACTTGTCTCTGATGACCATCCAGTATGTCAGTATGTCAAAAATTATGTACTGGCGGTCACTGGCCGCGTAATCCTCCAGGACTCTCCAGGATCTGATCCTTGGGAAAAAGGGACTCATGCAAGAGTAATGTCTGGGATCGTCCCCCGCATCCCAGGGTGGCTTATTGGAAAGTTGGCGTGTTGCCCTCGTTGACGACAACGAGTCCGGCTCTGGCAGCAAAGTCCAGAATGTACTTGCCCCGGGAATTGGTGTGGGTCATGCCCCACTCGACAGCCCTAGCATTAAAGTCCCCACCCACGACGACGTGTCCGGTGGTATCGGGCACGCTCTCTTACAGGCGGTCAATCTTCTCACGAAAGTCACGGATGGCCTCGTTGGGAGTAAGGTAGACACTGAAGTAAGTGACATCCCTGCACCGAACCCAAACGAAACCTCGGCCATTCGCGTGACCCCGCACTTGTACTTTAGCTGCATTACGAGCCCAGAATGCAGCAGTACCAAGATTATCAGGGAACCTTAAAGATGGGTCCCTATCTCGATACTGGTACCGTCCGCTGATTAAGAGCGCGTCGACATCGTGTTCGAGGGCAAACTGGCAGAGAAGTGCGTCAGCCATCCTGGATCGCTCAAGATTGCACTGAAGGATTCTTATCTTCGTGGGAGAGATTTCGCTTGATGTAGTGCAGTTTAAAATACACTACACTGCCCAGATCCAGCTATATGCTTTACGTGTTTGTCAGCGAGCCCATTTTCTTTGCAAAGGAAACAGGACTCGACTTGGCAGTTCTTACGGATGTGACCCACCTCCCCGCATCGAAGACAGTTGCGGAACAAACAATCTTCCACACAAGAAGCAACAGTCAAAGATTAATATTTAGATTGCCCAAGGTAAAACTAACCAGTATTTAGACAATCTTATCAGTACAGTGGGCAAAAATATTTCAACCAATTACCTCACGATATCAAAAGCAGTGTAAATTTAAAGTCATTTTCCATTCAAATAAAAAGTGGTTATTTGAGAAGCCAAATATATATTTTTTAAATAGTGTTGTAACATAAAGAATTTTTTATCTAAATCTTTGCAAATTTAACGTTTTGTATTATAATTATTGAATCTGCATATGTTGTTTTAAATTGTTGATTTACATTATTTTATACTGCTTATATAGGATTCATTTTTTAATACACTTTTATTGTGAATATCTATTATTTTATAATATTGTTATTTTGTTTAATTTAACAACTACTGTCATCAAGACGCGGCAGAGAGCGGCAAGGTGTGTTTCATGTGTGGACTGGACTGAAAATCTATAGAATGTACTTTATATTTTTTATTTTTATTGAACGTTGTCACATTAACTGGATGCTGTGGCAACGTAATTCCGAGTTTTTATTTCATTTGTATTTTATGTAATTATTGTGGAATAAATCATTATTTCATAATTTCAGTTATTGCTTTGGTCGCGGCCCATGCAGTTTCGGGAGAAATGGCCGAAACCGAGGCACTTAAAACACCTCTTCACTTCCACCCTCCGTCTAAGCCTGCAGTTGACCCAGCCGACTCTCAGATACTGGAGTGCCAACACCTTACTGGCGTGTGGGTCTGCCATTTCGGCGATCGCCATCCGCTGATGGCTCCTATTGGGTTTTGTGAGCCAAACCTTTAGAATGGCCGTTTGTCCGGCAAGATCGGGTACAGCTTTCTTCAGGGCCTCAACAACGTCACTCTCCGTCGACACACAATCAATGTCTCGAACCTCGATTGATGTCTTCGGCTCAAGAGCACGGACGGTGCCCTGGCCTTCAACAGCTGCCTTTAGTTCGGCAGTAAAAGCAGCCTTGTCTTTCGACTTACCCAACGTTCAAGGAGAACGTCCCCGTCCCGGGTTTGTTTAATCGACCGTACAATCGTATCAGTCTTCTCCGGCTTAGCTTTGGCCTTTATTACACCCAAGACCTCGGCGAAAGATCTCCCCCCTGAGAGTTTGACAAGGATTGCCTCCGTCCTGGGCTTTTTTGACCGCGACCTTTTCGGAGCAGGGATCGAGGTGGGCCCAGTTTGGACCACGACGGTTGGCTGTGCCTTCACTGCCTCATTCTTCACGGAGGCGACCCCCGCCCACCTCAATTGCCTCTTCTCCTTTTTGGAAAGGCGTTTTTCCCACTCAGCCCCAGGTGTCTCCACCACTGACATCTTTCGGGAACTTCCCTGAAGGGGGGTCGTGGGTTGCTGTGCCTGTCGGCACCTCGCTGGAGCTGCAGCTACGTCCGAAAAGGATCTGGGCACAGCAGACGAGAGGTCCGTCTGAGTCGCATTGGCCTTTACCGTGGTTTTTTTGGTCTGGACGCCTTCTGCTCTTTTTGGAAGACTCTCCGATGTGGAAGGCCTCCGACGTTTCTTAGAAGGCAGCGCTCTTTCATCGGACAGGGACATAACCTTTTCGGCAATCTTTTCCATGGCCACCTTGCTTATCAGACGGCAGGCAAAGACGAAACCAAGACCATCCTCTAGTTTGGCCATTCCATTTTTTACCACTTGATTTACGGCTTTCTGGGTCCGGAAGGTTTCCAGCATAGCCTTAATTGTCTTTTACGTTTCACGGAGCCGGGTTTCAATGTTACTATCTGCGTCAAGATATTTCTGACGCAGAAGCACAATCTCAGAGCTTTCCGACCGCGACGTCGCTGTGAAGGTTTCCTTTGGCATCCCTACAGCAGAAATTCTCGGCAGCAGAGTTCCCGGCAATGCCAGTTCGACGTCTACATCGCCATTTTCTGCACCGTTCCCAGCTCCACTTGCCGAAGAAGATCCTATCGTGGTGGGGGGGGGGACGTAGAGCACTTGAAAGGTGCAGGTGGGCACAATAGTTAAAACATCAGGAATAATTATTAATTTAATAACATATATATGGTTGTTGATGAATGCAAATAGAAAAAATATATAACTCAAGGGCTCCTGACGAAACAGCCTTCCGTACGGAGACGTCACGGCCGACCACCCCTCTCTCTTTGAATGGAGTGGGGGAGAGTCGTTGCGGCAACGCCCCCGGTCCACCACGGCCACCTTTAACTCCAGGCCGTGGCTTCTGAAGTGGCAACATCGCAAGTAGGTTTGTAACGGCTGATTTGTTTTGGAGGCAGCTAATGGTATTTATGGTCACGGCCACCTTTAACTACGGAGTTAAAGGCGGCTGTGGTATAGCTCAAGCTCACTAGCTCAGTGGTTTTGCCAGAAAATTGGTGTTGACACGACGAGTGGAGTGACGGAGGAGTGAGACCAAGACCGAACCGAACTGACCGACCAAGACCAAGCCCAAGACCAAGACGAAGACGAAAACGTCAAGTCCATGTCAAGGTGAAAAGGATAACCTTTAACCTGCTTTAACCTTGTTTCAAAGTCAGTTTATGAGACCCTTTTTATGAATTTTTACTAATAAAGTCTACTCGAGCTCCATTTGATCCATTAATTCCATCAATATCCTAGTGAAGCCGAATTATCCACGAATAATGTTGAATAATTGTTTTAAAATCTTATCCAGAACAGCTGAAACTCCTCAGGTAACTTATGTGAAACTTAATTTCAACAGTAGGCCTAGGCTATTAATACATATATTGGTCATGCTTAGTTCTTGTGTATTTAAGGCAGTTCACTTTATATGTTAGGTGGATAAGCCTATGCCAAAAATGGCAAAAAGCTGTTAGCAGGAGAAACTTTTTAAGTGAAACTAGAGGACCCATGCTGCTCCGCAGCAATCGCAGAGATAAGTATAGGCTAGGCCTAATGTCCGAGAAATATTCAAAATTATGATTTTGGATTGAGTGTTACAGTATCTGGAGCTTAACTTATTCAAACGATCAATAAGTCTTAAGTTACCTAGTTCAAATTAAAGCCTATAATTCGCTGAACTTGTGTGAACCTGGGAATAACTCAGCAATAAGTAGTGTGTGCACCTTAAAAATCTATTGCTGGGAATTTTGCGGAAAAATACGGCCGAGTACCTTGTTACCAATAATGTCAACTGATAGAGGCCACTTTAACAGACACAACAGTAAGTTATCAAGGTTATATACCTGACCAAAAAGTTAGGTAAAAAAAAGACCCGATTAAAGTCAGCAATTAATAGTGCGCACGCTGATAAAATGTATTAGCCTACTGGGCGTTTTGCGGAAAAATACGGCCGAGTACCTATATACCAATAATGTCAACAGATAGAGGACACTTTAACGGACACGACAGTATCAAGGTTATATAAGTTATTTGGCAAAAATTGTCAGCAATAAGTAGTTCGCACGCTGATAAAATCTACTGAGTAGATTATGGGTCAATGTCCATCTCAGTGTTTACACTTGACGGAAAATAATATCCCACGCAGAGTCAAAAAATATCCCACATTCAGTCACGACTTATCCTACAAAAATATCCTTCACTTTTCTGCTACTTTTCTTAGCTGAAAAGGGGTACAGTTCGCAAAGACCTTGAAAACGGGGATTATGGGGGTTTTATAGGGTAAAAATGGGGTTTTCCCCTTTAGGACCTAAAAATCATAAAATTTTGGAATTTCTTTCAAACCATTTTCTAGAGCTTAAAAAATAAATAATTTAGTAGGCTTCTATTGAAACATTGTTAATATGCCTAATGGTTAGGGAGAAAATTAAAAAAAGTGTAAATTTAAAATTTCCATGTTAACTTATTCTGATGGAGAAAACGAAAACTGTTGTAGTTGGTATCAGTTGATAAAATTTGGCAAATTTATCTATTTCATCCAACACCGGTACTATTAACATTTGGTCAAAAAACGCTTTTTACCTTCCCAGTAGCAGCTTGCTAAACACTCGCTAAATTTAACGTTATTTAAATTGGAAATAAATATTATGTCTTATTTATGGAAATATTTGAGTAAAAATGTAATCAGACAAGTCAAAATTTGCTTAGTCTGCAGGTTTGCTGTGGCGGGGGTATTGAGTTAGGTATCTAGTTGATTTATGTCTAAGACACCCAACTCACCCCTAATGCTATTCTTAAAGTTGAAATTGTGTAATAAGTTAGTAGGGCCTATAATGAAATTTTAATCCTGAAGGATAGTTTAACTGGTGGGTGGGGGGGGCTATATCGGTTCAAAATTTTACAATAATCAAAATCTAGCCTAACCCAAGTTCCTCCAAAACTTCAATGGGCTACAACATTTTTACACAATACGCTGGTGTCTAGAGAAAATCCTATTTGTAGTCTCCTCCCGCTCTCCTTTCACCATCACGTGCAGTCATGTACAGTACTACAACGCTCACGCTATTGGAAGATCCTGTGCGCTACAACTGATGTACAACAATACTATGTGGCCATTGCCATTCAGTCTCTTCCTTGCTTATTACAAGTACATCTCCACCTTCATCATACCAGAGCTAAAAGCGCACGGTTGTCCCATCCTCTGTATCTTACTTCTCTGTATAAAATCTTATAACCAAAAATAACAGTTCCAGTACTTGCAACACAAATATCTGTCAGACAGATATTACTGCAGTCAAAAAAAAAGAACAAAACCAGCCCCAACAGAGGAAATTATATGAGTGAACAGATAGGCTACATATTCCCACATCTAGCGAACACATAGGCCTATCCACTTTTGAGCACCCTGTGTGCAACGATGACTGTTGCACCAAATAATATTAGAAAGACAACATATCAACAACATATCAGACCCACTTTTAAATATGGGTAAAGTACAAAATTCTGAAATCCCGTAATTTTAACAGAAAAGCTTATTTTATTGAAAATCTCCAGAAATGTTGAAAGCACGGAAAAATAATGGAACAAACTTCTACTCCCCGGATTCCAAGGAATTCTCCAGAAGTTTGCAACTCTGGCTCCAACTACGAACTTGTCATGGCATGGCAACGCTCCCTAGGGCCGGCCGCACACTGATCAGACAAAACGTCTTTCAACAAAACGTTTTGTTGAAAGACGTCGGAAGCGAGTGGCCTACCATGCAGTTAAATGGAGGCATCACACACTGATGAGACAGAGGCTTCAGACGCGTTGTTTCGTCTGAAGATGTTTTTGTGATTGCCTCCAATATTTTGTCTGAAGCCAAAACGCGGTCAGACAAACAGTTCTGGGGATGCGCGGAGGGCGGATACAGTAGGTATCTATATACAGTAGACTCTCAGTAATCCGGCAGATATAGGACTGTGATACTGCCGGATTAGTGAACATGCCGGATTTACTGGAATGTTATAAATAAAAACACTTAAAATGAAATTAAAACACGACTCCGAAATCGCGCAATTTGAAACCGCTATTACCGTGATCGGGCAAGACGACGATGACGTTTCTTTGACCGTGGAAGTAGACAATGATGTTTACACGGCCGCGGGAGAGGATCAAATTTTTGCCGCGACCGCGGTAGACAACGATAATGTATACATGACCGTGGGAGATGTTCATGATTTTGCTGCGATGCGCAAGACGACGATGACTTTTCCGTGACCGCGGGAGATGTTGATGATTTTGCCGCGATCGCGGAAGACCTCACCCGTCAAAAGACGTCGGATTACTGGAGTGCCGGAGTGGTGCAGTCCCGGATTAGAGAGGGTCTACTGTATTTAATAATTTGTCTTACAGTTAGTAGAAGTTCATTTTCGAATCATGCAGAAAACAGTGAAACGTTATTTTAATTTCAAATATTTCAACTTATCTATATATAGGCTACTGTAATAATTTTTCTTACAGTTAGTAGTTGTTCATTTTTTATTTATGCTTAAAATAATAAAAAATTTAGTTCAATTTAAAATATTTCAACTTATTCCATATACCGTATTGTAATGTTTTTACAGTTTATTAAAGTAGTTCATTTTCAATTTATGCAGAAAATAATAAAAATGTTATTTCAATTTCAAATACTTCACCTTATTCCATTGTAGATTCATTTTAGATTTATACAGAAAATACAGAAAATGTTAGCTCAATCCTTCGGTTAGTTCTGAAAGTTGTAAAAAGTTCCACAACATAATTGCTACGTCCACTTCCTCATTCATTTTATTATATACACAATCTCTTTTCGCTTTTCACAACACTGGTCTACGTGACTAAGATTTCCCTCCAGTTTTTGTATTTTGTCTGAGACCACCGCACACCTATGCGACATAAGACGTTTTCCGAAAAAAACGTTTTGTCGAAAGACGTTTTGTCTGATCAGTGTGCGGCCGGCCTAGCGCTTGACACTGCAGCAGTGTGCGTTGAAACTACACAGCACTCCTAGTGGTGTACACCAGAATATATATTAACCGCAGCACTGCTCTCGGTCTATATTTAATTCTTTTTTTTATGGTCTAACTAAAGCCTCAGTGTCTCCAAGTTGCAATTGCTGAGTCTAGACCTGTTAAATGGTTCGATCTATTTAGTAGGTTACATGGTATCAATAATTTTGTCTACTATTTGATCCAACACTGGTATATAAATTGTGAAATCCATTTAAAAGGTCTTTTGCTTTTGAAAAATTATCCTGAGATTATGTCAAGAATAATTATGGTGACTGGGTCACACAGGTTTGAACTTAAGATAAAAAGTTTAACGAGATTTGACCCACGGAATGTGAAGACAAGGAAAAGGGAAAAGTGTCAACCTAATCAATGATTAAAATATATTTATCATATGTTTTAATATGGAGTAAAATGGGGTTAAAAAAACATTTGGTCAGTCCACGACAAATCATCCAGCCTAAACAAAATTTTACACCCTACCCTCTCAGATTAGACTGACATTTTTTTTACAGCATCTATGGACAAATATAACAACCCATATTTTTTATTTTTGTTAAATTCACTTTAGTTTTTTTTTATAAATTCTTTAAAAAATACGTCTTTTTTATCGATTTATTAGAATTGGCGTCGGGGGAAATGAACACTTTTTAGTTTAAGTCCGACTGTGAGACTATTATGTAATATAAATACATGAAATTTAGCAATCTTACAATTAATTACACCCTGATTCCAAAAATATGGTCCAAAATAGTAAAATCTTCCAATTTATTTTGGTTAGGCATCTTCAAAGTTGAAATTTCGGAAATATTTTTCTCGCTGTCGCCATTTCCGTAAATCCTCATAAATTTTTTCTGGCAGGTCCTACAAATTTGAACAAGGTGTCATTTTAAAGCTAAGAAAAAGTACTATAAGAATATGTAATAAAATTCATGGGTATTTAGTGTTATCACAGTTTAAAAAAATAAAAATTCAATAACGGAAATAATCATTAAAATGTTACGAAAGCAATTTGTTTACTTAGTTTTAATATTATATAATGCTCTAAAATAAAGAAGAAGCTCATCTCCTTCATCATATTGTAACAGAATCTAAACAAGTTTAAATCAAGTAAGTAAGTATATAGTTATAAGCAAGCATTAGTTTTACAAAGTATGGTAAGAAATAGTATACACTTTTTGTTAAGACAGCATTCAACTTAAGAAAAACATAAACCATTTGTGCTTAGCATCTAAAAAATATTTAGTAGTAGTTAAATTTCAGATATAATTTGTTTAATCTAATCATTAATTCAGATATTTCCT